CAAACCTAGCAGCCTGAGCGGCCGTGCATTTCCGTAACCGTCCGCTCCCGTTCGTGTATCCAGTTGCGTTTGCTGATTTTACGCGACCCCAAAGATCAGCACCTACGGTTGCGTTTCTCGATTTTACGCGTCCCCAAAAATCGACAGGATCCGTTAAGCCTCTTCGGAACCTATCGCCTCTTCTGATAGGTTCCGTCAGAGCTCTCGTTCTTGGTGGAGTTGGGCCTGTTCCATCCCAACTCCCAGTTTATACCGGCTCGTCAGTTTCCGGGGAAAAAAGAATTGACTGGCGCCCGCCTGGCTTGCGGATGCACGAACGACGGGTGGACGGCCGAAGGTAACGTAGGTTGGTTCTCGCAGATAGTCGTTCCCGTATGTCTTGCTATCGGTGTCGGGTCAAGTTAAAGAAATACGTTACAATACATACTGAGAAATTGCTTTCTCCGTCTGTCGAAAAATGTTTTTCTCAATTTGTCTGCTCTCACACAATCTTAAAAAATTTGTCCCCTCGCATATACGTATGAGGTTCGACGCGACACAGGCATAACGAGTCGAGACGCGCATGCGCAACGAGCCAGTGAACACGTGTAGTCTTCTGTTTATATGGCCTCAGCTGTTGGCTACTATCTTATTATGAGTTCGTCTCATATTTCGCGCTTGTCGTTCGCATATCGTTTCTGCGGACTGTGCATGTTATAATAGTGGATATAATTGATGTCCGTGTTAATGATTTGTAATAAAACATAAATATATTTTTTTTTATAAATACATCGCTTTTCCTAACCTGTCTCTTCGTGAAAAAATTCAGTCTATTGGAGCTAGTCGCTGGCACACCAAGTTTTTTGTAGAGAAACATGTACGTCTATTAAGCATCTACCTAGGAGATTGTAATGTACGGGAAAGGTCTTAAGAAACCTGTGAACAAATCGGCTCCCTTGACCACAACCAGAAGCCTTTATTTCCTCCGATTTATCATTGACGGAGACCGTGTGTGCTTGAGCCTCGAATTCAACGACTGACTCGTTCGCACGCTCTTACATTTGTCGCGCCCTCTCGCCGGGCCGTGCCTCACACATACCAGTACACCACAGGATTTTTGCTTGGCTAATTTATTGGATTTGATTTAATATTTTTGCTTGGTATTTTTTTAGCAAGGATTTATTTTTTATGAAATGGCTACACTTTTAATACTTGGCGTAACCGTTTTCTTTTTAAAAAACATTTTTGGTGTTTTCACTTTACCGTTCTCTTGCAACTTAGTACCGTCAATCTATTCAAGTTCTATCAGAATATGTTCAAGACTGTATTCAATGTTATGAAGTTTCACGTCAAACGCAACAATGAACCATTCGTCGTGACTATCTCGGCGAAACCCGTGCTATTGGCCATGATTCGAGCATTTCTCGACGTACATCGTGCCCGTTCCCCGAGGTATACGTCGACAAGTGCATGCTCAATACCACGGATTTGGAGAACGCGTATTTGCTCGATTACGATTACGACGATATCGAGAACGACGACGACGAAAGTTGTAGTCGCATATGTTTGATATTACGGCGACTGACCAAACGATCGATCATGTATCGTTTTTTCACCTTATATATAGTAATAAATATTTAGGAAGAAGTAGTTTTTCAAGTTATCCTTTTAAATCTTCCTTCTTCCTATTTCTCGATTCGTCATACGTCAAAATATACTCTTGTGGTTCGCCATTGTCGCCATAACTGCATGCTCCGCCGAATGGATGCAATTGGCCGACGATGATGAAAATAATGGTGTTCATAATACCAACATCACCACCACCACTACTGCCAACAGCGTACGTATCGATAGCGACAAGAGTGCAGAGAACGATAGCCGAAACAGCAGCAGCAGTATCGCCGAAGTCGATGATACGACTTCACGGTCCCTCGTAAACGATGGATGTACGAGCGCTTTGCCGACGATCAAAGATGCTGAATGTAGCATGAAAAATTTACCCAAACAATCGAACAATGAAACTCGACAAATACCAAATGTTCCTCCTCCTCCGTCTACCGATTTCCCGGTAACTAGACCATGCACGACTCCTAAACCTACCACTACTACTACTCCTATCACTGTTCCGACTACAACTCCTTCTACTACTACGACGATAACGATGACGACGATGCGTCCCACTGCGACTACTCAGAAACCAACAACCACGCAAAAACCCGCGACAACGACGATGAAACCGATTGCCGATAAATCGCCTCTGTTGATAGAAAATATGTCTCCGCTTTTGGGTAGCTATGGCGATGCAGCGTATCCCGACAAGTACTCTTATCATGCCACGCTCTTCTTCTCCGACGACAAAATCACGGGCCTCTTCTGTTTGGGAGCATTCGTTTTGTACAGAACCATACTCACCGTTGCGCATTGCTTCTACAACAATGCCTACGTACTGTACAAGTATGTGCAAATTAGCGACGGAGCGTCCAATAAAAATATTAAAGATATTTCTTCGGCAATTTGACAAAACTTTAAAAAAAGTAATTTATATATGATTTTGAAAAAAAAATTACAACTGATATTTATTTAAACAATATCGCTTTCAATAGATCTCACCATTTTCTAATTTTTACTAATATATTTTTACTAATATATACGTGTTTACGGATATAAATCTATAAAATTCTTTTGGAGACCTCTTAATGAATACAGAATCAATACCCAACTTCTTGACTATATGGGTTATGACTCTGTTGGCATAATCAATGCACAAATGTATTTCCAATTAGGTGCATGAAAATATTTTTTTACAAATTGCAACCATAGAGGAGATACTAATAAAAAGGGATCCATATGGTTTTTTACATCTGACGTGGTCTGTAAAGCTGTTGGGCACAATGGGTATTAAAATCTGTTAGAACTGCCATAGAAGTTCTGGAGTCGATTGATGTGTTATACATTTCGTTTCGAAAATATGTGGTCACCATTTTATGGAGGTGATGGCGATGGTGGTATATAATTTGAATCTTCAACTTGACATTCGGATTCCCAGTCCTCGGGGATTATTGACTTCACTAACTCCAAAAAATCATTAAACGGACAAATCGTAGAGCATCCTGGAAGGGTTAGAGAATATGGTTCGACTTTTGTAGAGTTTCTCAAAAATATCTGTAAATAATGATGTAGTATATAAATAAAACAACAATAAAAACTTACAAAAATTTATATATGATTTACCTGAACGTTCCAACCATTTTGATCTTCATGTAATTCCAACATGGTCATAATATTATAATCAGGCATTTGCAATTCCCACACTCCCAGACTTCCTAATAATGAAGTAACGCTACCATCGTGGCCGCTATACATATACATTTTCCTTGCATTGGGATTCAGGATACCTTTGGTTTTATTTCGCATCGATTCTACGATTGCGCGTACCAAAGGTCCACCACGCAATTTTTGCAACAGAGGATTCCATATCTTAATAATATAACTGATTTTCGTCAAAGGTTCCAATTTCTCAGGATAATAATTTTTAACCCAATAAGGAAAAGTCAGGTTTAAATCAGCCTAAAAAATAACAATAAACATTGAAAAAGAAAATTATAACTATATGTAGGTCAATAGCAGTTTTCCTATATCAATTTATAACAAGAGTTAAGGCTGCTGTTCAGATATTCTATGGGAGTAGATACACACCACTCCTGGCCGTCACAACAAACCCCCAGCACTATCCTAAGGAGTCATAGAGTGCACCGCGCTCCGGTCCCCCGCACTGCACTATGGCGCCACCCCCTCGTCTATGTGACCAGCTCTCCCATTCCCTGGGACACTGTGGTGGATCCTCCCACCACGCGGTCCTAAGGCCCGAAACCACCCAGCAACAGCGTTGCATCTCCCCCAGGGGGCGTATCACGGTCGGTAATTATGCAGTGACCGCCGGTCGGTAATTTTTAATTATCCTAAGGAGGTAAGTGACCCATGGTGAAGTAGAACACAGTGTTTTTGTAAGAAACGCTATATGTATTATAAAGCTGTTTGGTGTGATACATTTTCGATGATTAGCCTGAGCCCTGTATAGAGGAATACGCTTAATGTTTTATTTCCTACCGCCCGTTACCATTATTGACAAGATATGGGGAGATGGAGGTGAAGGAAACAAAAAAAAAAGAAAAAATAGGTATTTTTAAATATATGTCGTATATTGTAAGAAACAGTATCTGTACAATTTTATTAAGAGAATAAACCCTTAAGCATGACCGTTCTGGGCAGCCGTGGTGCTCCGCACGAAGGATAGGTACTCGTGGTTATACAGGGAGAGTAGCTCCACCAATAACTGATAAAGAGCTGGCGACCACAGGCCTTTCTTTTCCAAAACCAGCCGATGATCGTCGAATATGTTGTCCCTGGAGGCGTCATCCCCGCGGCGATCGAGCTCCGCAATCAGCGTGTCTTTGCAACTGCTAGCGCTGTCGGTGATCTCGCGTAGTCTGTTTATTCGGACGGTCACGCAGCGCAAGACCCTTTGGAGATTGAGGTACGACACCCTCTTCATTACGACCACGAGTGTGTACGCCCTAGCTCATTTAATGCCCGAGTCGTCGTTACTCGTAGATATCGGCACCGATGGTTTGAAAATAATGGCCCGCTCGCCATATGAGTACGTGAAGATTATTTCGTGAG